TTTCCCGGCGGCCATTTTCCCGTGGGGGAAATATACCGGGCCTAGAATTAACTTTAAATCTATGACTAAGGAAAGTTTTTAATCATTGACAAAATGCCTTTAGGGCGATATTGAAAAGACAAGAGTTTTAGATGCAATTTTTTTACATCAGGAGACTGGGCGAATGTTTCAGGTCTAACTTTGCGGGAGAGTACGCTTCGAGGAAGTTGTCCAAAATTTATAATTTCCTCTCCTAATTTTTGGAGGTGATCCCGTCCGCCTTTCAAAATTCTTGATTAAAACTGCACGTGCATAAATGAGATAAGATGTGAGCATAAATTGTGCTTTCCACATAAAGGCCGGGTTTAATAAATTCTCGGCCAATCTAAAACGGGCTTAATAAAGCTCCACGTAATAGACTGAATATGGAGCGACGTAGTGAGGCTTTGAGAAGTTTAATAAAAGTAGGGCACAAGCTGAAGCCATCGCTTTTTCTTCTCTGATCCGCTAAATTACGTAATATCAATATAGGCGACGTGGGAAGTCCCGGTTCTAGGCATTACACACTCAATGAAAGGAGAATCGAGTGGTGAGTTTTTATTTCGGATAAACGAATGGTCCGTCCGTCTACCTGTTGACAAGCTCCTGTCTGTTCCAGAATCATGCGATGTAGCGAAATTCTCGTATAAAATCTGAAACGCACGTAGCGGGTACCGACATTAAATACAAATCAGGTATCTCAAAATAAGCTCGGGGCAGATTATGCTTTCGATTCTAAAGGGAGGAGCGTTCGGGATTTCGCTGACCCTCTGTCCCACGGCAGCCCGCGGCTAGGTTCGAATGTTAACATGGTCCACCGAGACCCTTGTCAGATAAAATACATCTGCAACTGATACCCCCAGTTTCCTCGCCCTCCTCCTGCCTAACACGCTTTCATCCATTACATCCTTTGCGCGCCTTTCTAAGTTATCTTTAAATATCCCCCCAAAATATAAGAGGACAAAATAAACAGACCCTTTCGAAAAGATGACGGTAGACCTTTTATATTCAACCCATTTGATGTTGTAGAATCAATTAGCTAAAAGCTTCAGGGGCCGAAACGTTAGCAAGTTACGTTTATCCGAGGATTAATGCCAATTTTTTACGGTTTAGCGATAGTTGTACGAGGGCGATTTGTATCTACTTAACGTGGGATTAGTTTGGTTTGTTCACGAGCCCGAAAAATTACCGACATTGAAGCCTAATTAAAACGTACAATCCCCCACACGCATCATGCTTTCATCTAAATAAGCCGGTGCACAACCTTTTTCGCTATTTTGGCTCTTGTTTTCCCTATGTCTACCGTTAAATGACAACATCTCTTCTGAAGGACGCTTAATTTTATGCAACCAAAATCACTTCCTAAAACAAATTTGAATATCGTTGGTTTGGCTTATGTATTTTTCATTTTATTTGTGTGCGATGTAATTAACTGAAGAAAAAATTGATATTATCAATTGCTATAGTGCCGGAAACAGTTTAAGGAGCGTATTTGTCTTAAAAAGTCATTTTGGCTGCATTAGACGCCCTTAAGAGATTTCTACTTTTTAATAAATATCATTGTATATTAATAAATTAATATGTGCACTAGTTTCACTTATTATTAACGTAGGTCAATATTATTATTTAAATGTTATATTTTGTACTCGTATTGTACTGATTTAAGCTATAGGCTGAGGTAAGATTTGGAGTAAACAGCTTTGTATTAAATTCATTTTTCTCACTTTGTACCGACTGCACATAATTTTCTGTTTGTTAAATCTTCTGCTGATACACTACCCGTGAATCGCAAGATTTATGTGTTTTAAACAATTTTTTATTTTTAACAGAGCTTTTTTGTAAAAAAAGTAGCCTTTAATCTTACTTTGATCGGCCGGCTGGCTGACTGGCGGGCAGCAAATGAGGATCCGTAAAAGAACGCTTGTAGAAAAACGAGGAGTCTACGTGCACCTACCGGGGCTGTTAAATTAACAACTTTGTTTCTTAAAGCTCGAATCGCAGTATATCTTTTGCGTGTCTTGAGCTATAAGTGTCCCAAAAATGTAGTATTATTATATGGAACGTTTTTAGTGAAATACACCAATATGCGAATTGCGGGGAATGTGGTAACCTCCTACCTTATTTATTTATTTATGTATCTACCTATTTATTTATTTATTTTTACTATATTCAAAATACTCAGTCACATTTTACTTTTCAGCTATTCCCAATGGAGTCAAACAGGTCTGTGAGACTCATGCTTACTTGGAACTAACCATTTCCGTTTACTCGTCACCTGTGAATAAGAGTACGGTTCGCGTCTCCTTTGATTAATGGCGCTTCGTAGTCTAAACCTCATTCATAAGGCTAAAGGGCAAGCTTTTACTTTTTTAAAGGAATTTGACATCGACTAAGAAAATGACAATGGCGAATCCTCCAAAAATTCCCAACTTCCTTTTAAAAAGTTATAGTGGGTCGTTTATTAATTAATATTTAGAAACCCCTCTCGGAGGGAGTCTTTTTACGATTCATAATCGAATTTTTCTTATTCAGGGTGTTTTTGAATGGTAAGCGAATATTTAAAGTATAATTTTTAGATTTGCACTACACGGATGGTTGTTCTAAAAAAAAGTGTTTTTGAATTATCCGTTCTATTTGCCTTGATTTTTTCTATCTGTTTCGAGTTTCAAGAATTTTCACCACATTCTTAAATTTTCGCATATCCTAAAGAATACCCTGTGTAACTATAGCTTTAATGGCCGTATGTACCGAAGAAGTTTAGGCGGGCTTAGTTTAAGTGTAGCTTAATATCCATGGTAACGTATATTGGAACAATGGTTGCCAATGGTTTTAAGCTAGGCTTAATCTAAGCTCAGCTTAAATTTTTACAGTGCATACAGCCATAAGTAACTTGCTAAGGTTGATCTAATGATGTCTTCGATTGTTCTCAGTGCCAGCAGACTCGCCGTAACAACTCCTGAGGTGGCTCAAATTGGATCCAATTCGACTCTCGGGACAGTCTTGGACACGGATCAAGTAAACGAGGTAAGTAGAGACACCTGATGATATTTGCATTTTTTTTTCAAGATATGATTACTATGATTCATAGTCGTTCAACTTGATCAACAGTGATTTTCATTTTTCAGTTATTGGTAATGGAGTCAAAGAGGGCTGCTATCACGTGATCCTAAGAATTCCCTTTTGCCAGTATTCCGTGAACTCAACGAGTGTAGTGACTCAATTCGTAAGCATCACCGAATGAATAAGGCTAAGGGTAAGTTTCTACTTCTTAAGTAAGGAATATCAATCTTAATGAACGCTATTCCACAAAAAAAACCATATCTAATGATAACTAAATAGATCTAAAATATGCTTAAAAGTCCTTTTTAGACTTTTTTTAAATAGGTTCTACTTTCGGCCCTTAACTAAAAAAAAATGGATTTTAATTTCAATCCCGTGGTTATTGCGGATAACTTGTTCAATTCTTTCAGGCGACCATATTCTTAATGAAAATGTACCGTTCCAGATTCCAGTACAGTCTCATAAAAGTAGGATTTTTCTTTTTTATGCATGGTTCATTGCATTCTATGTATTAAGCAGTGGGGGAAAAGTGAAGTGCCAATTTAGTGTTACTAACAAGAAAATCGGTGTTAATTTTTTCAGTGTCCTTCGTCAATGATTCTTAGAGGAGTTTCTTTCGCGGAATCTACTGGTATCATTCATATCGATACATGCATTGCTTTATTTATTTATTTAAAGGATTTTCACAACTTTTTTTGGATGCCTTGCTGAACATTCGCGAAAATGCTTGAGCTCTTCACTATCACCCCAAGGAGGTGAATTCCCACAACTTCCTAATTTTTGGGAGCTCCTTGCGTTATGAAAGTCTGATACATGCTTCTGGATTCTTGAACTCTTTACTAAAATAGCCAAAGAGAGAACAACAAAATCTATAACCTCAAGTTTTTCTAGAATACCTTGCGCTTTGGGATACTGTAGTTCCACTACAGATTGACCTCTGCAACTCTTCCCACTCGGAACATCCTTCATTCAGCTGCTGTCTAAGTCAGAGGCGTAAAGAGCTCGTCCCAGATGTGGCAAGAATTTTTTCCGACGTTCTTGGAATTCTATGCGTTCCGAGAGCTTGTTGCTTAATTCCGGACGTATTCTTGCAATTCTCTTAATTGGAAGAACACTCACAAAAAATCGTGCATTCAGCTATTTATATAAAATTAACTACAGAACCAACGCAACTGCTGAGTGTAGCGTGCCTCTTTAACCAATAGAAAACCCGCATTTCTTGTTTCTATGCAAATTTCGGCTTCAGAAATAGGTGGGCCACGCGGAATTGAGGTTGCTGCTATGGTAACAACCCACGTGACTTAACTCGATTGCGCCCTTTCCATGAGTTTCTGCAACCATTTCGACTGAATTCAGTTCATTTAATAATTTGAGTAAAATGTTGAGCTCCTGTCTAAAATTGAGCCACATACGTGTGTCCACGCGTCTTGCAAGATGTAGAATAAGAGTTGAATTGTCGGTAGAAACTCCACTGTTCTTCCGGCATATCGAATTTGCGATGCAAATCGACCCACCTTAAACGAAATGAATGTTATGGAGACATTCTCGGATAAAATGCACCGTTTCTGCTGAAGCCATAAATAAATGGAGTTTTCATGTGACTGATAACGATCCATTTCCAATTTATCCGACGCCTTTTTGCTCTTGCTAGATCAAAAGACGCGACGAAATAAGTAAATAGGCTTCTGAAACAATCTTCAGCGAGAGCAAAAAAAAAGTAGAAAACGTAGCAAAAAGGCTCAATTTGTCTGAAGAGTTTTACAAAAAGTAATCGGCGAAAGTGTCCGTCGCTTTCTGGATCCCTTGATTGTATTAATTTATTGATATTAGGGTTTTCCCGACCGGGCGAGTTGAAAAACTGCGCGAATGAAACGTCGTCTTACGGCTAATTACAGCTAACGAAAATGTATGATAAAACTTACGTTCCCATGAGCACCCGTAGAGTTCCACCCGCATGCAGACTGTACGAGGATGTTCACTGTAGGGAATAAACCGCACTTTGCTTGCAATGAAGGGAAGCTCCAGACGCTGCCTTACAACCAGATATGTGTTGCTATTCCCAGTTAAGACCTGCAACAAAGAAAACATCTCAATGTCATGGAGAAACTCACAAAGTAAAACTTCTAGACTGTTACAAAGGCTCATGTTGTAAATAAAATTGAATTGTGTTTAGTCTCAGTCTTAATATCCAAGGCGAAGTGATAAAATCTGCTCAAATTTAAGTGTTATAAATGTGCCTGCATGTACGCTGTAAATATTAATCGTAACCCTAATTCTTATGTCATAGTTTATCGTTAATACTGTTAGTTTCCGTAAATATTTTCATTTTATTTTATTAATCACGTATTAAATAATTTTACTTTACCATAGGCACCTACGAAATCTCTAACCCAAAGTCCAACAGCGAGTTCGCCTAATCGCGGCAAATAATCCCTGGTTTATAGACCCTCCATCGTCATTTCATATATTCGCTTCCTTTACTTTGTCCAAGTTTCCTTATTGCCACTACAAGTTTTTTCGAAATTTCGGGATAAAGTTAGATATTTTGGGATTTCTAAGGGTAACAGCTTGGAGATTGCATGCCATGGAAATTTTGCCGGAAGTAAAATTTAGAGTATTGATTGGTGATCCGATAAATATCATGTGTAGTGGAATTTTCCTAGTGAGATTTTTTAAACCGGGTTGCAAATACAAAGCGCCTTTATTCTGCGTTTTTCAGACACGGGAGTGTTGTTTGTACTGCATGCAGTGGCAAACAAATGTTGGTCCAACTAATTACCCCAGAGAGCTGAATTAATGAAAATCGTGGTTTGTTTGTAATTCGCAAAAACAAGGATCTACCAGAAAAACAACTGTCTTCCGCAACTTTTGCCATTCGTCGAAATTCCAACGAAGGAGCTTTCCGTCGAGAAGAGATGCCCATATTTATTTCCTATCGCGTAGCGTTCAAAGTTCATGGTTGCTGTAAGGAGGATTGCAATCAAAACTGTCAAACGGAAGCAAAAGGACCAAGCCCATAAGGTACCACTTTTGTCATTTATGTAAAGACTTGAGATCATCTCAAAATTGAAACGCCACCATGTGGTAACTTTCGAAAGTAGGTCAAATTCAATGTCATATCTTACATTTTCAAGGTTATCCGAGCGCAATGGCACCATTTATTTGCGGCGTCATATCCTACTTTTAAGCTAATGACCCATTTTTTTGTGGTGTCCAATTCTATTTTGAAGGTCATCAGCGGTCAATGTCAATGATCTCGTTTATTGAAGAATCAAATTTCACTTTCAAGGTCAACCAAGGTTAATGTCATCTTTTCTCTTCGTTGAATTTCATTTACCATCTGGCATGTGACCTTTGAGCAGTTTATTTAACGATTAAATTTAGTCATTCGCCTTGGATGACCTTGAACAATGAAATATGACCTGAAAATGAAATGTGATAACATAAAAATGGGGTTTGTCCATCGTTGACCTTGAAAATGGAATATAACGCCACAATAATGGAGGTCGCTCAAATTTGAAATCCTTAAAACTAATGTCACCATAAGAAATGGGGTATTGACCTCCGATGACTTTTAAAATGAACTAGGCGAACACAAAAATGGGGTCATTGGCCTCTAATTGCCTTGAAAATGAAATAGTAGTCACACATCTAATCACCTTGAAAGCATAATATGGAGGTCATTGATCTTGGATAAACTTGCAAATGAAATATGGCACCAGTTGGACTTGGACTAATGAAATAAAATAAGACAACAATAAGTTCATTGAACTTCAATGGCCTTGAAAATAAAATGCGGTTCTTGACATTTAATGACCTTGGTAGTAAGATGTGGCACTGCCCTTAACCTTCAGTAACTTTGAAAGAGAAATATTACTACACCTCCGATGACATTGAAAAAGAATGTCTCTCAGCTTCACCTTGACCCTACCTTCCAAGGTCACCACTAGGTGACTAGCAACCTTGGACTGAGCGATATTCGACCCTATATGACTACGCTTTGAGATGTGTTTTGCATATACTGTTGTGTAAACTACCAGACGGTCTCGCTTCTCTAGGTTAAAATATTGCCGACGATGTGAGCGAGTCACCCGGTAGTTGAAAATTTAGGTGCTGTAAACGTAATTTAGGTTTAGCATTAATGGTTTTAGGCGGGACATCCTGTATAATGTGTTAATTTATTTGTTTAGGTCCTGAGAAATATTTTATCAAATGGACAGTAACTTCAGGATTTTATTGAATGGTCTTTGTATTGAAAATTGTGATAAATAATTTAAGGGTCGTTATTGTATTTAATGAGTGTACGCAATTCAAGGAACTCATAAGTAAGCAAACATGTAATTTAATACGAATTAAGGAAGAAGCGTATAAAAGTTATCGGGCAAATTAATTGGATACTGCGTTGATAAGTGCGAAGCAGATGGGCATTAATTTGGCGACGAGGTTGATTGTTTGTTCTTCGTCAGGCAATAACGAGGCGGAAAATAGAGTGGAGGTGCAAATCGCTTAAATAAGTGTAGCAATTTAACGACGCTGCGGTTTAATTACAAGTGTCAAATAAAAATGTGAATTTGTAAAGTTCTTTAGTAGGTCAAATTCAATGTCATGTTTTATTTCAATTTCAAGGTTATCCAAGCGCAATGGCACCATTTATTTGCCGCGTCATATTCTACAGAGTGAGCAACAAAGATTGAAGCGTGCCGCTTCAGCTAAATTGGCAATGTGCCGCTCATAGCATATGCTGATTTGATACAAGATACGAAATACGAATAGACGCACGTCACTGTGACAGCGCAGAACGTCATTTTCGTATACAACTCCATACAAAGAAGGTAGTTTTGATATTAATAGGAACAAGCGGTGATGACGCACGCTTCAATCATTGTTGCTCACTCTGTACTTTTAAGCTAATGACCCATTTTTTGTGTTGAAGGTCATCAGCGGTCAATGTCAATGATCTCGTTTGTTGAAGAATCAAATTTCACTTTCAAGGTCAACCAAGGTTAATGCTATCTTTTCTTCTGTGTCGAATTTCATTTCCTATGTGGCATGCGACCTTTGAGCAACTTATTTGACGATCAAATTTAGTCATTCGCCCCTGAAAAATTAAATATCACACCACAAACCCGGGATTGACCTCTGACGATCTTGAAAATGAAATGTGATACCACAAAAATGGGGTTAGTCCCTCGTTGACCTTGAAAATGGAATATAACACCACAAAAATGGAGGTCGCCCAACTTTGAAAACCTTAAAAATGAAAACTGTCACCACAAGAAATAGGGTATTGACCTCTGACGTTTTTGAAAATGAACGAGGCAAACACAAAAAAAGGGCCATTGACCTCTAATTGCCTTGAAAATGAAATATGGCATCACAAAAAAGTAGTCACTGACTTCTAATCACCTTGAACGTTGAACATGGAGGTCATTGATCTTGGATAAACTTGCAAATGAAATATGACCCCAATTGGATATTGAAATAAAATGTGACAAATGAACTACAATGACCTTGAAAGTTGGATTCTTGTGCTTGGGAATAAAATGTAGCACTGCAAAAAAATGGGGTCGTTAACCTTTATTGACCTTGAAAGTGAAATATTGCTACACCTCCGATGACATTGAAAGAGAATGTCTTTGTGCTTCACCTTGACCCTACCTTCCAAAGTCACCACTAGGTGGCTAGCAAGCTTGAACTGAGCCATATTCGGCCCTATATAACTACTCTTCGAGGTGTGTTTTGCATATACTGTTGTGTAAACTGCAAGGCGGTCTTGTTTTTTTAGGTTAAAGTATTGCCGACGATGTGAGCGAGTCACACTGTCGTTGAAAATTTAGGTGCTGTAGACGTAATTTGGCGACGCGGTTGGTTGTTTGTTCTTCGTCAGGCAATAACGAGGTGGAAAAATAGAGTGGAGGTGCCAATCGCTTAAATAAGTGGAGCAATTTACCGACGCTGCGGTTTAATTACAAGTGTTAAATAAAAATGCGGATTTGCTGAAGCTCTTCAGTTTTTCCCGTGAAAGTAAAGTTTCGCCGGTAATTGCGTTCCGTTGTACCAATTTAATCGTGGGGATTGCTTGAACAGATTGTAAGTAAAATTCCGATTCTTAATCCTAGTTCTTGCATTTCAGGGTGTAACCGGAAACTGTACTGACGTAAAAAAATTTACTTGGTTCTGGTGTCCTCTTGACCATTATATAATGAAAATAATGGAAATCTCCCGCGGATGGGCAATTCTGGCAATTGCGGAGAATAAGTAATTAAAATGAAAGCACTTCGTAATGTACGTCGAGAACAAATGGACATCATTCGGAAAACGACTGAAATACATTGTTTAATCCTGAAGAGATGATGATTTATCAGGAGCGACATCTATTCACTTGATGCGAACAAATGATGGCTGCCGGGAAGAAGGTGCTGCCGTTCAAGGGGTTACGATATAGTCGGACGATAAGACTGTGACAAATGGAACGACTATGATAAATTACTGCGTGTATGCTGATGTAGGACAAAATTTCGAAGTGCCACGGCTATGTGCTTAATCTTCTTTATGCGCACGTTTTATTAGAGAAAGCGAGAGAGCGCGCAATTAAAATTTTCGCGTCGAGAACGAGAAGGCATAATTAGAATATATTTCTTGGACCAATTTTAAACGTGGAGCACGCGCAAATCGGTCGGCAGGTCACGGAAAATTATGTCGCATACGTCAATTCCCTTGAATTGAAAAACTGCAACCGTACGTGTAATAAGGGCTCTCACCGAAACTGGTAACATTGCAGTTTCGTGCTCGCTTCGAGCCGCGCGTCTGTTCCCCCAGGGAAATTTGTACCATGCTTCCACGAGTAATGGCGCACGGTGTCATAGCTGCATTTACTCATTGTCGATTCCTCTAATGGTATCAGTTTTTAAATTTCCCATCCCGTTTTCTTTTTTATTCGACTGTTTGCCGAACAATGAGCTCACACGAGATAAAACCCAACCTTCCCCCTCACATATCCATATACAAAAAAAAATTATATCATCCGCGCTGCGATATAGCTCTAATTCAAATTCAATGATGTGGATCGC